AACTTTTTTTTGTGCACCTTCGTATCAGCTATATTAAATGAATATAGTGATACAGTGTGTCTGTGCACTTAATATACTAACATGAAGCAACTTCTTTAGCAGCTTTGAGGATTACATATTCCTTAATTCTGCATTATATAGGAAAGAGACAAAGTCTCTGTTCAGAGCTGAGAGAAGACTCAGTTAATTAGGCTTTTGGGGCCTTTTAATGTGTGACTCAGACCTTTGCTGTAAATTAACTGTACTGCAGTCATTGTTAATGAAGGATATTATATAAAATACTATATTATATTATTTCAGCTCACTTGGCAGCAGTGTGTGAAATTCTGTTGTTTTCACTGTGTAGGTAATCCAAGATAAAGATAACCTAAACAGAAGATACAAGAGCTCCTGAAATGCTCTGATTTTAGGCTTCTGTAAAGTAACTGTTGGATCCAAATGTGTTGGATCATGTTTCAGGTAGGGCCTTGTGCCCTTTCAAAATTACAAGCTCCTTTCCTATTGCTGCTGTGCTACTTTTTCAGTAAAGAAGTCTTCTACTAGTCTAGCATCTGTCATAAATATTCACATATCTCTTCTGCAAACTAGAAAATTACTCTTAAAAGGTGGGATGTAATCCTTCAACCAATGCCTAACCCTTTTGTCACCAACGGGTAATGCAGACAGAAGGTAACTATGGATGGAGAATGCCTGAGTCAAATCATCAATTTTGTTAGTCTTTGTATGGAGATGTTGACCCTGACTTAACAAGCCTGGACTTGTTCAGGGCCAAGTTAATGGGCTGCATTGGCTTGCTTTGGAAAAATGTTTGTAACCAGTGAGGCACTGGGGGTGCGGTGCTTCCACAAGCACTTTCCCAACTGGCATAGCCAGAAATTCCTACCCTTCTCTGTTCAAAATCTCTTGGTCTGTGCCCAAATTACTGATCTCCTACTGTCTTCTGTCTTGTAGTTATGTTAATGTGACTCTTAAGTGGGGAAGCTCTAAAACAGGTCAGTCAAAATGACCTTTGTGTTGAAAATGCCAACACCACCCACATGTGACCCATGAAACTTATTTCTTATTCTCTTCTCCTTGCACTGAATGTTTATTTTCATTGTTTGGGTTTTTTTTAGATTTGCTTGATTTCCTCAACAGTTTCAGTATGCCCTGCCGAGAAGACAGGGGTGTATGGGTGGAGAACACAGGAGGCTCTTAAATCAGTTTGTACCAGGGATTGCAAAGTGGAATTTGCAGCTCCAAAACCATCCAGGGCCTAGGTAGTAATTTTATTAATCTGTAAACTGTCTCCTCAATAATAGGTATGTTGTTTTTTTCCCCTAAAGAGAGGTTCACAGAAGGAAGAGCTCAGCTGTTGCATGTACATTGATTTGAACTCAGAGTTTAGGATTTAAATGTTCCAGTGAAGATCTGTTCAGCCTGAAAGCGGAGGGGGGGTCATAGGAAAAACGCTGCCATATGGATGGAAAACACACAGGAGTGTGTGAGGTTTTCCTACCCTCCCCCAGCCTGAGGTCCTGGTGAGCCTCAGGCTTCAGAAAGAAATTAGTTCAGATGAGAAGAATGCTTTTGCTTCATCTTTGCTGGTTATTGCTGAGAATCTACCTTCTAAAAATGTAACTTATACTAAGTTTTGAAATTGCACCTTATATTGTTCAACAAGCTGAGCTATTTCCTGCCTCTTCCCATACAGTGTCTAAAAGCTTAAACAGATGCAGACTCTGCAGCCTGGGGCCACTCCAGGGAAACCAGAAGGAGTGGCTGGGTGCCTCAGGTGCAAGATTTAGAGTTTCTTGATGCTGTCTGGAAGCCACCCAAGTCTTGAGAAAGAGTGCAAAACAATGGGCTCGAGTTTGGGAGCGTGCTGAAGAGCCACAAAGAGGAAAACATCCTTTAAATGAGTGGTGGTAAATCTTTCTGACCTCTTGTGTCAGGTTTATCTTCAGGGAGAATTACAGGTTCTTATCGTGTAGTGTCAGGTCAAATGGCAGGTGCCAACAGCTTGTGATTATTGGCCTAGATTTAACCTAGTTCTGGTGCTGCTGGAAGTTGTTTGAGCCAGGTCAGACGTAGGTCAGCCAGTGGAAGAGCAGTGACTGTGTAGACCAGGGCAGAAACATGACCATGCTCAGCATGGTTATAATGACTGTGTTTTATGTGGGTCTCGTGATGAGGAGCAGGAATGTGAACTGGATAAGCACATGGACATGGCTGGTGCAGGTAAAGAGTTACTAACAAATTGTGAGGGAATTTGTTCCCTCATAGGAGCAGAGGGAAGCTCCTCTGTGTGTATGTGGAGAACTGTTTAATAAGGCAGATCAAACATTCTGCCTTATCAGTAATATATCTTTGTATATGTTTAGACTGGCCAAACTGTAGGCCTTCTTTTTACTGCCACCCTCTATTTTTTTCCCCTAGTAGATTTTTCTTCTTTGTGGATCATTTTTTATGCAATGAAAACCCCTGGATAATAGCCAGCCCAGTCAATAAGTTTCAGTCATTAATAAAACTTGCTTGTGTGCAGAGCAAACAGTGCTGTTCAAACAGTTTCCTAATCAAAACAGTTGTATCACCACGTTAACTCTCTCGGAGCTGGAGGCACGTGCCATTGCCTCTGAACACTTTGTGCTGCAATCATGTACTGACTTTGTGGCCAGACCCATCTGAGTTACCCTGCCATCCTTGATGCAGAGAGCAGTGGAACTCCCTGCTGAAAGAGGGGGCAGTGGTCTCTCCATTTACGCTATGCTATATACATATATATATAAAAAACATGCAGATATTGGGAAACCATCCTTGAGTTTTCTGTAAGGCAGCCCTTACATGGGAGGTGACTGTGAACGGGGCTGATTGTGGGTGACAGTGTCTGGAAAGTGTGTGCAACGCTGCAGTTGAGTGGAGGATTTCTGCAAGAGATTAAAGGGTGGAGTGAGGATAGCAAGCAGTGAAAGTAAACGATTTCAAATTAGGTCCAAAGCAATTAGTGGAAAGTCATGCATTTCAATGTATTCCTCTCAAAGTGTTTTAGAGAAACTAGGTTCCCCACAAACCACTATGATTGGGGAATAAAAGTAGAAGCTTTGAAAAAACACAGTCATCATCCCATGGATTCTTAGCAGAATAACTCGATGTCTTCTGTTCAGCACAGTTCATATGTCTTATTTACCCTTCGTGCCATATTATTTTGTAGGTTTGTGTAATTTAATTATTGCTTTTCTAAGAAGTTTCAAGTGTCTTGCTCTGCATATCCAATAAAGAGTCTCCCTTGTTAATCTCTAGTTAAATGTTTGCCAGGAGATGGATCTGATAATCTCTACAGGCCAAGCAGTGAGAGGACGGTGCTGAGGACAGAATAAACAAGACTTAGAAATAATGAGTCAGAAGTTCTGAAAGGGAAGCTAGAGCAGAAATCCTGGCAGATACTGTGGAGGGCAGTTGTAGAAGAATGGCGGGATAGTTTAGGAACTGGGACTGGAAATCTGGAAACTGTCATCAGAAACTGCCTGAGGTGACAGAAGAATGCAGCTGCAGCATGGTATGGGGTGTAGCCCAGCAAACACGAGGGCTGGGTGAAGCCATCCAGCTAAGGGCAAAGGCCATAAATTGAGGGAATGCTGGTGTGTAATAGCTTGCTGCTAGGACTTCTGTAAGCTTTTAAATTTCAGAAGGAAGAGTGCTTTGTGTTTACCACTTTTGTAGTCTTTGATCATGTGTTCTTCCTTTTTTTTTCTTTGAAAATGCGTTCTGCTGACATTTGCTGGGGTAATGCATTACTGACATCTGGTCAAACTGCATGAATTTAGGTAGCCTTGGTAATCTTTTTCCCACAAACCTATATCCACTGGTGAATTTTATCTAACAACATTTGGTTAAAGAAAATCTGTGCTTTTATGACAGAGTGAGCAACTCACTTTAGCAGCAAAAGTCTACCCAACCACATTGCAAAACCCCGATTTCCTTGAGCCTTGTCAATGTGTCTGAGTGCCCTGGATTCTCTCACTTCAAACACGCTGCTTTGCTCAGTGCCTGGGGAGCCACCCAACCCAAAGCAGCTTTCTGAGCATCACGTGCTCCTCAGGCATGCCGTGCTCAGCTTTGTGTATACAAAGGAAGACGCTTGGAAAAAGTTTCATTGCCCCTCAGAGAGTGCTTTACATACTGCCTGAGAGAGACTGGGCAGGACAGAAATTTCTGCATTGACCCTTTGCATTCATGTGGGCCCTTGGTTCACAGAGTGGAACTGGGTGTTGTTACCTACCAAAACAGCTAATTTTGTAGTGGTAAGAGGGGTATAAAAAATGTGAGAGTTGAGAGTCTTCAGTGTTTTGGGGTGGGTTGTCCCCCCTGGCTTTTTTCTACAGTCAGGGATAGCCTTGGGTGGCTCTGGCTTCTGTAATGTGAGATCTTAAAGATTTGAGTGAGAGAGGTTGACAGGGCCCCAAAATGCAGATGTGGGAATCTGCTGTGACTTGACATCTCTAGTTGTTTCCCTTCTCCTACAAAACTATACAGTGAAATGCCCCATCCTGAAATATTGTTGGCAATAACATGTGCGTGGAACATTTAATTTGGGATTGTTACAGACATCAGCCACAAAAAAAAAAAATCCCTGTAACAGTTTCCAAGCTTTTCTTCCCACAAGTTTGATTGCATATCAGAGAAGTAATAATGGTATTTTTGTCATAAGCATATTTACAAACTTGTCCATAGCATCCACTGCTTCACTCTGTTAGGTGAGTAGGAATTTGGGGATTTTCAAGTCATTCACAGAATGCAGTGGAAAAAGATGTTCATCAGAATTGTATGATCCATCAGTATTGTGCTTATCATTATGTAATGTGTAAAGAAGTGTTCCCAAAAAAAAATGTTTCCTTGCTCTAAAGCCTTTCTTGAATAGGACAGGCCCTAAATCGTTGTTTTAAAACTTGGTTTTGATGGAAATATGTCTTGGTAGAGCTACAGCATGTCTTAAACTGTGCTTCTGGTTTGTTTTATTTCAGGAAAGGTGGCTATACAGAAAGAAGATCTGCAGAAGTATCATAACAGAGACACCTGGTTTCAACTCCAGCATGTTGATGCTGATTCAGAAGTACAGGTGAGATGCTTAAAAAAATATCTTGGTAAAGGAGTATTTGTAACAAGGCCATGGCAGTTTCATGGGTTTCATAGCTCTAGGACAGATGTGTTGCTTCCCTGCAAAAAGGAAACGTTGCCCATTAGTATGGTTTAGGTTTTGGTGATAAGTGTAGGGTGAATTACAAGTGTCCATAAATCACTGGAGGTCAGGAATTAAATCTATGTGAACTATCAGGTCTCTGATACAAGGAGGGGTGTGTTTATCTCAAGTATCGAATAACTTCAGGCCCTATAAATAACAGTTGATTCCTCAGGGAGTGGAGCCGTCTTGAAAATAGTATCTGCAGGTACTGCTTTAGATAATTATGTTGGCATGTTGCCACAGGAATGGCAACGAGTACATCTTAAATGTGAAAAACGTTCCTTGCCAGATCTCTAGGTCCTCTTCCAAGCAATGGGAATGCTGGTAATTGTATTACTTCAGCCCTAAATTGCAAATTTTTGTACACAATGAGACTCCTCTTTCTGTACTTGCCTTCTTTTGAAGCAGATTCTGTTTTCTATTACAACATTAAGTCTTGTGAAAAGTCATTATAACAAAGCAAGAAATCAAAATGATATAGCAGGATGCTGTGCTTTTTTTCTCCTGTAAATATGTATTACATATACTTTTGAGCATACATACGTATACTTTTGAACCACAATATTTGTTTAGGAGGAGACATGAATATCTGACTTGTGCAAAGGTGTCAGATAAATTCAAGGGGAAATGCCTCCTACATACTTCTGTATGGTAGGGTTAGACACAGTGTCTTGGCTTTTCAGTCAGTGTGCAGGTCTGTGTGGAAGGGGCTGACAGCTGCTCAGTGAGCCAGAGGAGTGAGCTGACAGAAAAAAAAAAATGATAAGATTCATGTTTACCCATAAAGGAAAAAAGAAGACAAGGTCATTCACATGAGAACCAAAAAAACAAAGATAAACACCCGACACCTACAGTTGGAAAAACAAAACTATTATCTGTTATTCTTTTACAAGAATTCTTGTAAAGGTCTGCCCAAATCGGTGATGCTGACTACTTTGTATTTCTAAACACGATAAGCTGTGCTATTGTAACAAATGAATGAATTAGGCACTGTGTTAAAAAAATGTATGAAAAGAGAATGCACAGCCATAATAAAAGGCCATTTTACCTGTTACTATGTGGTACTTTGTGTGCCATGTCCCTCCCAACAGCAGCAGGCCTACGCATAGCAGGTTGGAAAATGACACTTAAAATGCACGCACATTCCAACATACATTGTGGTCATGTATGGTGAAGCATATGTGAAAATACATGGAAGATTAGGTTTTCTTTTTGTTTGGAGAGGCATATAATACACTGTCGTGCATGTGAAACAAAGCGTCAGGACAGCCTGTTCAGCCTGACATTCTCTTGTAAAATATTGATCCTCTCTAATGTCACATTTCAGTGTCACTGGTGATGGAAAGGCTTTTAACAGGCTTTTAACTATGAGATCTATTCTGTTTACCCTGGTGTCCCTGTCTTCTTACCCCAAAGCCTCTTATGACAGTGCCTTTAGAACAATAGATTGATGTTTATTTCCTGTAGGATATGAAAACTTTCCCTTTGCAATTTATCAGTTGAAGAAAGCCAATATTTAGATAAGCTTCTGCATTGTTTGTTTTGTTACAATACTTATACAGAGTGAGTTTGTGGAAGCTTTTTACACCAGAGTGCTCTCTAGGGCGCTGCTGGTAAAGTAAGTTGCAGGCAGCTCTAGGTTTTGGTGTGATGAGCACAGGATTTGCTGGAAGCAGGCAGCTCTAGGTTTTGGTGTGATGAGGAGCACAGGATTTGCTGGAAGCATGTTTTCCGTTTGTAATTGTACAGTTTATCACTTCTGCTGTTTGCGTCCTTGCTAGAGCCCAACTGTTAAAAGCTGTTTCTGGGCTCCAAGATAAGCATTTATTACAAGTAGTGTAAATGTGATTTATATGATACTCTGATTTTATCTGTTTATTTAAATGTTCCTCGGACTTTATGTTGAGACTGCAAGACAGCTTGATTTTTCCATAATAGTGGGAGCAGATTTGTAAATTTGTATGAATTCTTATGCAAGTGAAGATACAAACACCAAAATATTTAATTTGGCTATCTTTTACCTTTGTGGTATCTCAGTTGTTCTTCTAAGCACTTTTTCATTTGTAAGGGAAAATAGAATACTTGTGTTAATGACAAGTATTTATATAGGGTTACTCAGTTTTCCTCCAGTTTTAAAGAAAATAGTTCAAGAAATTTTAGTAGTTAACATTTGCAGTGAATCATGGAAATTAGTACAAAGGCAGTTTTAATGTGCCAACTATTAGTTTTATCCTTCTAGCAATTTTTCCAATGTAATCTAATGGATTAAACATTGAACCAGGAAACTCCTTCATCTTCTGCTTTTGAAAGCCAGTGGCTGTTGTACTATTTTCCATGTTGTAGATCACTTCGTGGCTATTTAGTTATGCATCACAGCACTCTATTGAGGTAAGTTATTGTCACTCCCACACGTTGAATACAGTGAGAGTAAATGTCAGAAAGAATGTGACTTGCTCGGGGTTATACAGTCAGACTGAGAAATTGAAAAAAGAGACCAGGTTTCTAATTATTTCTAATACATTAGGCCGTGATATGAAAGAAACTGGTTAAGAATAATAAACCTATGAGGGACTTACCTTTACCCTATGTGAAGTCTGAAAATACCCAGGTTTTAAGCAGAGCAGTCAGCACAGTCAGAAACTGAAAACTAACTTAAAAAAAATGGATTGTTCAAATTTTAGTGGTATTGAATGTTGTGTTTCTTGTGGCCCACTTCTGGGACGTGGTATCTCATTTTTCAGAACAGAAAGACTGATTTGAAATTACAGATAATAACATTTGTGATGTAAGAACTGATATTTTGAACTGTCTGAAGTTTAATGAGAAGAATTTAAAGTTTTGTTCAACATGGTTTGTATCTCATTTGTATACTTAAAAAAATCAGTATGCAAGTGTTAATATTGTATAACTTCATCACAGATTGTTTCCAAGGTGTTTAGCTTGAGACTTTGAATCTAGTTTTATGGTTTTACAACATTGCCAGTTCTTACTGTCTTACAAAGGTGCTTTGTATTGTCAGGAGTGAGATTATCGCTTCATAAACTTTATTGCAGATAAGGGTGTTACTGACAGCAGGACTACATTAATTGTCAGACTACACAGATATGAGTGTTACAGTAAGATGCTTTAATGCCACTTCCATTTATTGCTTGACAGCAAGTGAAGGAGTCTGGCATGATGGCTCATGTTGAAGGAAAAAGGAGGGCATTGTGTGTCTGGGCTGAGTGCTGCTGAGAGGCTGTGATCTCACCTGCATGTTGTGTTCAGTCTCACATGGGGCAGTACAGGTGGGGCTGTGCAGCTGCTCAGCCCCCAGATGCAGAGCAGGCATTACAACCCACATGCCTTTTGTGGATTTGGTTTCCCATTTGATCTAGCAAACCAACCTAGTGAGATAATCAGTATCATCAGGTGCATCTGAATTTCCCTTTGCCTGAGTCGGGGGAAAACAGTAGCACTGTGCAGAGTCATTCAGCAGTGGCTGTAACTGCCTCTTGGAGCTGACAGGCTTTTATTCTGTTGGTACATCAATACCCCCACATTTTACTGGCTGGTTTTACTATCACTAGTTTGAAAATAACATATTGCATCGTCTGCTCTAGTCCTGTCAGTGGATACCCTAGATGCTGTTGGGATATAGCTGGGAGATGAAACCGGAGTTGTGCTCTAGGTGGTTAAGTTTGAGCTGCTCTGTGGAGAACAAATGATGAAACTCCAGCTTGTATTTGTGTTTGGCATACAAATATGAAATGACGTCTGAATATTTCCTTTTTAAATATAGAATGAAATGTTAAATGTGATTGGGAAGTTTTCTTATACAGAGTACAGAATGGAAGTTGACAGCAGCCATTAATGTTTAATTTATGGCTTAACTTTCCAGACTGAGAAACTTGTTCTGAAAGTATAAAGCTATAACCAGGTGAGTTTGTGTGCATTTAGCTGAAGGAATTTTTATTTCCCATCTTCTGATGGAGCCTGCATCCTCCTCAGTACTGTGCCCAGACTTAAATGCCCAGTGTCTGACAGTGCACGATCCCAAGTATTTTAGTGAGAAGTAGAACCGGAATTGAGCCATTACTGAATTGAAAATGGTTTAACTTTTGCATTGAAATATGAATTATGAGCAATCGAGCAGCTTCAACTGGAGGGGAGGGGCTAGCAGCAGAAGAGACAACATTGTAAGCTGCTTGAGGTCAGTACGAGTATGGTGTTGCATTCTTTGTATGGAATGTGTTTCTTTTCTACTAGTAATTTGTCTTTCAGGACCTGCTGTGTTCTCATTGTCATACTTTTTGAGGTCTGGAAGCAAAAATTGCCATGCTATTTTGCATACCTCTCTTATGATCCGTGAATGTTTTTCCTTTTCTTTACAGAAGGAAGTTTACCCAACAGTAACTGATTCAGGTATTTGCCTAGGGCTGTAGATGACAGATGCTCTCAGTGGTCCATGTATTCTCAGTGGAATTTAAGCCCAAGTGCACATGCAGCCTTTAAAAGGTCTTTCCTGGTTTTAAATAGTTTCCCCTTAATTTTTTTTCCACAATAAGTTCATAGTTCAAGTCTGTTTTGTGAAGTTTGAGCTTCGCTGCCTAAATACCCTTTGTGTACATGTAATCAGTGAAGTGGTTAAAGATCCAGAGATACTCTGATTAATATCTATATACACCAGCATACTCCATGTTGTCTATATATGCCAAAGTAGGGGAGACTTGAAAGGAGAGTTAGGTTATTCTGACATGCTTTCCTGTGCAGGCTCTTGTTTTAAAAGTTCCCTTTTTCAAGTGTGCTTTGAGTTACTTCCTCCACCTCATTGACAAATGTGAAATAGTCATGTCCTCTTACAGCTGAGTTCTCAGTTTTAAATGACAGAATGCTTT